GCTATGAATTCCTTCCCCTGGCTTACAAAGTCCTATAGGATCTGGCCTGTCTGCCTCTCCAACTTCATTACGCAGCATTTATCCACACTTAGTTTGCTTTAAGAACACTGGTCAAACTCTTACGCTACCAAATATGCTTCTGCTTCAGCATTTTGTATATGCTTTGTCTAGGATCCTCGTTCCTCAGACAGTCATGTAGCTCATTCCGTTTTACTGCAGTTTTGGGTCATAGTCTTTCCTCCCTCCCTCCCAGGTCTTCCCTGACCTTTTTATTTCAATACCGTCTGCCCCTAGTTACTCTTACATCACTTCTTACGTTGTTGTCACAGTACTTCTCAGTATTTGAAGTGATCTTTTTTTGTGGTTGTTCGTGTCTCTGTCCTTGATTAGAATATGAGCTCCGGGAGAGCAGGGATGTTTGTTGCTCACTGTTCTACCTCAGTGCCTGGACCAGCACAAGGCACAGAGTAGGGATCCAGTGAACACTGGCTCTGAGGGAATCCAGTACAGATACAGCTTTGAGACTCATTAATATATACAAGGTAACTCAGTTGATGGGTGGCTGTGATTAAAATAAGACTGTCTGTAGTAGTGGATCTTTATCTTAGCTGTATGCTAGAATTAACAAGTTTTTTTTGTTTTTTTTTTAGAAAAGGAGACCTGGGCTTCACTCCAAAATGATGAAGTGTATGAGCAAGGCTGGGGCATGTTTGAAAAGAGTCCCACCCAGTTTATTCTAACAGTTCTGAGTTGTAGAGAGAGAAGAGCCAAGGACAGAACCTTGAGAAATACTGATAAAGAGATAGAAGAGAATCCTGAAACAGACAGAGTGACCAGTGACCCAAGGGAAAAGCGAATTTCAAGGAAGGAGAAGCTGTCGGTGGCAAGTGCTCAAGCCAGGCTGAATCATGTAGGATAGCATTCATTATAGGTAGCAATATGGAGGTTATAATTTATCTCTGCACAGGGTTTCTCCACCTTGGTACCATGACATTTGGGGTTGGATACTGCTTTGTTGCAGAGGGCTGCCCTTTGCACTACGGGATGTTGAGCAGCATCCCTGGCCTCTGCTGGGAGGGACCAGCAGCAGCCCCCAGTGGTGACAACTAAAAATGTCTCCTGAATGTCCCTCAGGGGTCAAAATCGCCCCTGCTGAGAATCACTGCCTTAGCAAAAGCAGTTTTGGTGGAGAATTGAATTCTGAACCCAAAATGAAATGGATTAATGAATAGCCAACTGGGGAAATGGAAATAATGTGGACAGTTATTTAAGAATTGATCATGAGGGGTGTGGTAGGAAGAGGAGTCACCTAGACAAGAGTCATGGGTTTGTGGGAGGTTACTTTTTATTCTCACTCAAGGACATGCCTGTTGGTTGTAGAGAGAGGGGAGGGAGGAGAGGAAGTAAGGAAACGTCGATGTGAGAGAGAAACCAGTTGCCTTTTGCATGAGCCCTGACCCCTAATTGAACCCAGGACCCACTAACTGAGCCGCCCCTGCCAGGGCTGTGGGAGGTTAGTTAGATGGGTGCGAGTTGAGCATGTTTATACACAACCAGAAAGAGGGATGATTGATGTTCAAATCCCTTGAAAGAATGGCATCTAGAACACGGGGTGAGACGTGCCTTAGAAGAGGAGGTGCCTCTTGTAATTGGAGGTGAGGATAGCTGCACATGCTGGTAAAATACTGGGTTGGTCAAAAAGTCTGTTTAGTTTTTTCCATGAAATAGAAGTCACACTTCATTTTCACCGATAACTATTCATTTGGGTATTTTGAGTATGTCATGTCAGCTGTCTCCTGCTATTGGCTTCTAGTGGGTAGAGGCCAGGGGTGCTGCTAAACATCTTCCAGCGCATGAGACAGCCCCACAACAAAGAATGATGTGGCTAAAATGTCAATAGCACCAAGAAACTTGGCAAACCACTTTTGACACAGTCAGTTACAGCACCTTCTCCATTTACTACACAAAATATGCCAAAAATGTTTATTTTCTTCCATTTTCAATATAAAATGGCTGCACAAAAGTTTACCAATTTTGGTGTTTTTTTAATGCATGCTGATATAAACAGCTGTCACAATAGAATCTAACAAAAATGTTTTGAATGAAGTTAAAGACAACTAAACTCTACTAGACCCATCAAATGGAAAGAATCAGAACTATTTGGCCAACCCAATAATAGTAACACGTGACTAACATTTATTGGGAGCATCCAGGCAATGTGTGTGTGTGTGTGTGTGTCAACGCAATTCTCACAACGGTGCTATCAGGCAAGGTGGTACAGGGGATGTTTCACGAGAGGCAGATGGTGTCGGTGATTTTGATCGCCACTGGGAAGGGGCTTTCCGGACGGTCCCGTGCAGAGCAGAGGCACCAAGCGGTTAAGCAGCTTGTTCGGATCACATCTCTAGCAAGCGGCAGAGCCAGGGTTCTTACTCAAGCACCTGGCTTTCGAGCCTGTGCTCCTTACTCCGTACAGGATGCTGACAGCAGAGGTGGCAGGAAGTTCAGGTAATTCCATCTGATGGCCTTTTTTTTCTCCTTAACAGTATAATGGTCCATTAAGAGTTGGGGAAGTAACAGGTCAGAAAGTTTGAAGAGACTGTAGGAAATGTGAGGATAGCAGAGGGAGCTCGAAATAACCATTGTAGGAATTCAGAAAATTGCCGGACAATAATAATAAGGGTTTGGTTAAGGTAGGAGGCAAGTATTTGGCAGGTACCAGTCTGTGTGCATGTCTGATTTTTCTCCAGCTTTGATCAGCAACCCAGTTAGAGACTTCAGGGTTGGGTATGAGAATAGTGAGGACAGCGGATGGTGGATGGAGGCCAGGCTGGGCAGGGGAAAAAGAAAAGGGGCTAACAGGGACAGTGTAAGGAAGTCAGGAGCTGTGTGTTGCTGACGAGATTCGAAGAACTGGTAGTGGGGATAAAAAGAACAAGGACACATAGAAGGTTTAGGACAGAAAGTGTATGTTCAAAATTTTGGAGATGGAGAAATTCCTGGGGGTGACAAGGGCTCAGTGTGGCCATGGAGGTGGGTAGCTGAAGAGAATGGAAGGGTAAGAGGCCTTTTAGGTGATACCAAGGACCAAGAAGCTGGGTGATGGATGGCTGTCCATATGGTCAGGGTGACACAGGACCAAGGTTCGAGTGATGAGTGAGACAAAATAAGGAAGTGGACCAGAGGATGGTGTAGCTGGTTGGAGAGCCAAGACCCTCAGAGAAACAATGACTTTTGTATGAAGGTTTAGGATGGTGATGACATTGGAAGGAACATAGAAGGATGAGCAGCCCCTGAGGTTCCAGAAAGATGCCAGTTCAAGAGAGCCCGATTTCAGCAGCAGGAGCAGCAGCAGCGCAGAGGTGAGTGAGCATTCTAGGAAGAGGCGGGGGGTGTCAGTGCTATTTGTATCCACAGAACCCATTAGAAGATGAGAGAGAAGAGGGGGGATTTACATTTTGGGTGGTGTCCAAGGATCATTCCCAGCAGATCTTGATGCTGAGAGGAGTGGGCATTTCAGGCCTCCAAGACACTCTGGCCGCACAGCTGGTGGTGAGCCAGAGGGACAGCGCTCTGTGCAGACCTCCAAGCTCAGTGCAGTCTTAAATCTTCTGGTGAAACTTGGTGAAATGAGAATTGAGGTGCTACTGAGCAGAGACCGGTTTCTGACCAAGTAATAAGACGTCCTCTGCAGAGACCCAGAACTATGGGGCAGGATGGGCTGCAGAGCTGTGGGCAGGACGTTGCAGGAGTTGAGAATGATGTCGTTCATGTGGCCGTGTTTGTACCCACAGATGGTGAAGGCCCCGGGGAAACTTGGGTTATATTGCTTTTGGCCCAGCGCTGTGGACTGGGCAAGAGAGGAAGATCATTTGTCCTGTGTTTGGTCTTTGGGCCATACTGTTGCTTATACTCCAGCATGGTGACACTATTCTGGGTTGTTTTTTTTGTTTTTGTTTTTATGGTAACTCTCTATGGGGCAAAACACAAATCTGGAAGTGATAGGACAGGGAGGAGAGATAAATCTTAATGAGAGACACAAGGCTGGGTTCAGAATAACTGGACTACGCCTGAACCTGGTGTATGGGAGGGGAAGGGAACATCTATTTAACTTTGATCTTTCTTTGCTTGATGGGAGAAGCTCGAGCTCCCATTAGATCGCTCCAATAAGTTTGGGGAAGTAGAGGGGAGTGGCAGGGTGTTTTCAGCCTCTGGTCGTCACAGGCACATGTGACACCACTGAAGAGAGGAAAAGAGAACAAGTTCACACCTGAGAGCTGGCTGTGCAGTGCCAGGCACTGTCGAGCTTATTTTTAATCCTTATGGGGCCTCTTGGAAGTAGCGCCCATCAGTAGCTTCATTTTGTCAGTGAGGAACAGTCGGAAGGGCCAGTAACTTATCCAAAGATCAAGTCAATGATGGACCCCAGATTTCAGATGATCTGATTCCAAAGTGCACTTTTGTGCTTGATGGGGAGGACATAGCTTGTCAGGGTTGGTGCGGCAGGTCCCACGAGCAAAGGGAAACTGGAGCCATCATTAAATGGGAGAAACTAAAGCCATTTGGGAGAATGAACAGCATCCATCAAAGGGAATGGCCCAGGGATGGGTAGAAAGTAGGTGGGGAGGGGAGACAGCAGAGGTTGGTGGTCTGACCCGAGCCCACTGATCTCCTGACCGCTGATAGAGAGGTGGCGGGCTGGGCACGTTACTAAGAGGAAATTGTCCGAGAGCCAAGCTTGCCAGGATTTTCTCCTGTTTTCCCTTCAGCAGCCTGCCCTGGGCAGTGGCTCAGCTTTCTAGCTTTGTCCTTAAGTTCTGGGCATAGACAAGGGCTTGGTTTAGGGAGGTAGGCCGGCCACTCAGATCAGCTTTGGTTCCTTTCTCTCTCCCCCTTCATGAAAAGGACATGTACGTGAGCGGAAGGAACACTCAGCTGAGAGCGAGGAGACTTGTGTTCCGGTGTAGCCACTGAAGAAGGGACCAGTAGTGGTAGGCAGGGGGACAGCATTTATTCGGGAGACATAAGCAGAGATTGTTTCCTCAGGGGAGCCTGAGACGCACCCTCAGGAAGCGTGGGTTAGACCCAAAGAACTGACCTCTGTGGAGGTTTTGGCAAGGATTTGGAGCTGCTTCCTGATCGCTGGCGTCCAGGGCCCTGCAGCCTGGGGCTTGTGTTGCAGTGGTTCAGACAAACAGGGAGGGAAGGCAGAGGCGAGGTAGCAGGCAGACCCGTTCTGGGTGCTTGGCTTTTTCTGCAGGTCGGTGGTGGCGCTGGCCTTTGCAATGAGCAGGGGGTTCAGCTGTACCAGTCGGAAGTCTTGGATGTTTAACTCCTCTGGGCTGTCAGGTTTTGGCCTGAACCTTGTAGGCTCTGCCTTCTTGTCATTCTTAGGTGCCTCATGTACACAGAGAACCTTGTCTTTCACCTTGTTTTGGATCCAGGGATCAGTTGAGGCCAAAACAACAAATGTTTCTTGTATCTGCATTGAAATAAAGGGCCTGTGGCTGGCTCACTTTAGGCTAAGGCTGGGAGTGGAGGGAGTAACCCAGGGGAGCCCTGGCCACAGACCACTATGGCCCCAAGGAATGAGGTCAAGGGACAGTGGCTGAGGGCATATTACCCTCTCCTCCCTCCTGACAAAGAACATGCCTCGAGGATGGATGGGACAGGCTTGGAGGAGGGGTTGAAAGAGGAAGAGGAGGGCAGGAGCGCCTTACACTCTTCTTCACAGACTGGCTGTCCTCCTCGTCCAGCATGTCCAGGAGCAAATTGAGTACCTGTGGGCTGCGGACCCCCAGGACGCCCTGGCAACGTCAGAGGACAGCGCCTAAGGAGCCAGCCCCCGGAGGGCACCGGCGTGTGCTCTTGCTCCTGCTTGACCCCTTGAGGTGGCCCTGTGGCCTGGAGAGCTGAGATGGGCTCCCAGCCGAGGTGTCCCTTTCCTTGCCTTTTAGGGCCACTGCTGCCAGTGCACACTACTCACCAGCAAGGGCTAAGACAGTTTCTGCAGTATCTAAGCAATGCCCTTCACACCCACCTCCTGTCCCCTATCCCACTGACCTCCGATCCGGAAGAAAAGGTTACTCTGAACTCCAGGCGGGGCTGGAATTGTGGAATAAACAAGCCAGCAAACAACCTCCCCAAACTTGACAGCCCTTTATTGCCCTCAGTAATTTTGCTCAGTTGCGTAGTGCCCCTGCCAGCAGCCCATCTGGTCAGAGAAGCAGAGCGTCTTACCAAAGAGATGACTGCCTCCTGGCGGGCGATGGCATTTGAGCTCATCAGTTGCCTGTGTCAAAGGGAGTGGGTGCATCGTCCAGTTAAGGGGCAGTGGGAAGAAGGCTGATTGTGTCTTACCATGGCCCAGAGTGAGTTGGGCATGAGGCTGCTAAGTGATACTCATTTCATTAATTTCTCCCTCTTGTTTCTTGGGTCAGGTGAGGGGCTGGGAGGGGAAAGGCAGGTGCTGGAATTAGCAAGGGGGTGCTTAATGACAGTCGCATCAGTCCAGAACTTGACCTTTCATGTCCTCATCTCAATATGCGCTTTATAATGACAACTCTGCATGGTAGGAATAACCAGCCTCTTTTTGTAGTTGGAGAAAAGTCCAGGAGTCAAAGAGGGGCTTGGCCAGGGGCACAGGCAAGCGAGAGCTGGGGACTGGCAGCAGGTTCTGAGCCCTCCAACCCTCTGCCCTCTTCCCACAGCCTAGGACTTGGCCCTGGCAGCTCCCAGCCCAAGCCACTCACGTCTCCACCAAGTTCAACATCGTAGGCTTCATCTTGAGCTCTTCCACAGTTTGAGCTACAGCCTGCCTCATGACCTGAAGAGGAAAGGGCTGCCGGGGTGTGCCCTTCCGTGCTTCGCACACCTCTGTGGAATGTTCAATTTGTGCTCCCCATGTAGTGGGCCTTGCTCGTGGTTCAGGGGCAGGGGGAACAGACAAGTGAGTAGGCAATGATGTCACTGTGATAAGGGTTACAACTGAACGAAACATGGGGTGTGCACAGGAAGGTCTCCTAACTCAGTCTGCGTACCAGCAAGATTTCCTGGAGGAGTTAATTCCTCAGCTGACACCTGAAGAGTGAGTGGCAGTTAACCAGGCAGAGGCCTGGGGGAGAGTGATTTTCCAGGCAGAGAGGGGACAGGTACAAACGCCTGGAGTCAAGCAAGAGAGCACAGAGTGTTTAGAAAACAGAAAATTGTTCCGTTTAGCTGGGTGACCAAACTGCGACTCTGGAAAGTGCGGCACACTGGGACCACAGGGCCAAGTCAGGATGGGGCGCCCTGAGCACAGTTGGTGTGTGGTTCTGAGGGGAGAGCGGAGGGGACGGAGCTGGAGGCATGAGCAGGCCTTGGGTGGTGAAGGGCAGGTAAAGCATTCTGAGGGCGCTGGGGAGCTACTGCAAGGGTTCCTGCCCAGGGGAGACACAGCCAGATTCACTTTTATCTGATTCAAGTTAAAGTTCTGCGGCTAGTTTTGTGGTAAGCTATTATAAAGATAAAAGCAAGGGAATATAGGAGGGCAGACATGAGTCTGTCTTGCAGTGATTTGGTGTTTGGACTGGTCTTGAAGGGGCTGTTGCAGAAGGAGAGAGGAGTCACTAGTGGGGGTGACAAGTGTTTCACCTGCAGGGGAGGGAGGCATTTTGCTGAGGGAACTGCCTGAGCAAAGGCTGGGCAGCTTGAAAACGTGGGCTGCGTTAGGGAAACAGGGAGGGGGAATGTGATTCTCTGGCCAAGCGGGCCGGGGAGCCTGGGCTTCACTTACAAGGAAGGGTTCATTGTGTATCTTGCTTCTGAGCAGGTCAAAGACAAGTCCCTCCAGTCCTTGCGCCTGGATCTGCTCCAGCCCAATGGCCTTAAGCAGCTGAGTGGCTTCAAGGCGGTGCTGTGGGCAGCGGTGGGGAGGCACGAGGGACAGGCCGTGGTCCTCGTCCATCCCCCAGCCCTGCCCTAGTGCTGCAGCAGCAAGGGCGCCAGGCAGCCCGAGAGCTCACCTCGAGGACACAAGAATGGCACAGCTGGTCCAGGATGGCCCTGATGGCCTCGGCTGAGTGTACGTGCATCCTCTTGACCAGCATCCTAAGTGCCTGTCAGGGCAGGCAGGGTGAGTGGGGTCCAAGAAGCTTCTGGAGGGCTGAGTCTAGAACTTGTGGGGGATGGGTGGGGTCCTGCCTCTCGAGTGTGCATGCACATAAACAAATTTCCACTTAAATCCAGTGTACACAGACACACGGACATTTAAGTCCACTTGGCCCACCCATGCACCCCACCCATGCATACACATACTCCCACACCCACGACCCCACAGTACTCCCTGCTGAAGCTTCTTTTCCCTGGGGCGAGGATGACAGGGCCCAGGCCCTGTGGAAGTCAGCACTGGCCTCAGTTTCCCCCGTGCTCCCCAGGGAGCTCAGCCGCCTGCCCCTCGCACCTTCATGCTCTGGGGCCGGGGCCCTCGGCGTATGCACTGCAGCAAGAACTCCCGGGCTGTGTCGCTGCAGGGCCTCAGGAAGCCCAAGCACAGGGCTGCCTCCAGGGCTGCTTCGTTCGGTGACGTCTGTACCAGCATCTGCAGCACAGACACGAGCGTCCCTTCGTCCCCGACTGGAGTCCTCTGAGAGGAAGACAGAAGGTGACGGGGCGGGGACTGTGTCTTCAGCCAGGCTTTGGTCAGAGGACAGTGCATTGCTGCTTCCAGACTCCCTCCTCCCTAGAGGAGTCTCACGCTAGCAGCTTATTTTCCCCACTTTGCCTTATTTTTGCTGTCAACTACTTGCTCCTAGGTCAAACTCTCTCATTTCTCCGTGACTTTATCTTCTGAATGGATTGTTGTCACTCTCTCTAACACTTCTGCTGTCTAATTCCTGACATTAATAAAAACATACATGTCACCAATCCAGCCCCTCCCCTCCCATAGCCCTGTCCTCCACTCTGTCGGCCCCTGACTCCCACCGAGAGACTACCGTCACTCACGGCTGCAGCTTCTCTGCAGTCTCCATTCCACCGCTCCCCCTCTCTGGCCGTCACCTCCTATCCTTGCAGCTCGCCTCCGATGCCCACGACTGTGGGACTCCACGTGGCCTGGGTCTTCCTCTTCTCTGAACAGTGGGCTGCCCCAGGGCTCGAGTCCTGGTTCTTTAGTTAGTGAGCTCATCTAGCTGAATGACATTACATGCTCTCTATGTGCCAACAACTTACTGTTTTTCCTCTAGTTCAGACCTCTCTTGTAAACTCCAAATTGTATATCCAATAGATACCTGAAACATCACCTGCCCCAAACTGCACTCGGGGTCTTTCCTCCCGTCCCACCTGTAGCTTTCTCTACCCTTCCACTGGCTAGGCCAGAAACCTGGGCTTCGTCCTTGCTTCCACACTGCCTCTTAGAGCTCATACTTGACCTGTCAGTTTTACTTTTAAAATATGTCCACTATCTCTCACCAGGATTGCCTCAGTCGCCCCTAATTTGGTCTTTCTGCTTTCGCCTTGCCCCCGGCCTCCCATCTTTTCTCAACACGGCAGTCAGAGTAAAGCTTTTGAAATGCTGGATCATGCCACTCCCTGCCTGGCTCCAGTGTCTGGAGCCAGAGGCTCCCTATTCGACTCGGAGCCAAAGCCCAAGTACTTCAGGTTGTCCAGAAGGCCACATCGGGTCCAGTGTCTGTTCCCTTTGACCTGCTGCACGCCCTGCTGCTTTCTCTGGTCCCCCTCCCCTGCAGCCACACTGGCCTCCCTGCTGGTCCTCAGTGGTGCCAGGCACGCTCCTGCTGAGGGTCTCTGCACTGACCGGTGCCTTTGTGGGCATGCCTCCTCTCAGGTCTGCAAGGCTGACCTCGCCGTCCTCTGTGCTCAGAGACACCTTCTGAATGAGGTCTTCCCTCTCCTCCATGTTTAAATTGCAACCCATCCCTGCCCCCGCCTGGCGTTCCTGATCACCCTCGCCCATCTGCACACTTTTTCCATTGCGCTCGTTATCTCTAACTCATGATGTAGTGAAGTTGATTGGTTTCTAAGTGTCGGCCCCCACTAGAATGTAAGCTCAACAAAAGCAGGGATCTTTGTTTGGCTCACTGATGCCTCCTCCCAAGGACCCAGGGGAGTGCCTGGTATGCGATAGCTGTTTAATACCGATTTGTCGAGTAAATGGGTGACTGCCCAATTCTGTTTCACTTGGAGCAGTGATGGGGTCAAAGTAAGAGGAGCCTAAAAGGCAGAAATCTCGAGTAGTGTCAGTGGATTCTCTTGGTCCCCATCCCCTCCTGACAGAGGTTTCCCTTTAATAGGTTATTTTAGGGGTGACGACGATGGTGGGTGCCGATCAAAGAGCACAGGCACCGAACGAGGCACTTCCCACGCATCGTCACACTTAGTCGCCTCGGCAGTGACATAAGAGAACTGCCATCTCTGGTTTAGACATGGGTGGATGGTGGCTCTGGAAGCTGGTTTCTCAGAAGCTGCGTGACTGCTAGGTGGCTACACCAGGGCTCCCGGCCAGGAAGGCCCACAGGACAGCGCCTTCCCCTTCAAAATGAGGAGCGAGGTTCCCTTCTCCCTGACCGAACCCCTAGCCAGCACCTAGCCAGTCACCTTGTCCTTCCTTGTCCCGATTACCGAGCTCCTCCCAATCACCTTGTCTTTGGGGACAGCGGCCCAGGAGTTGAGCCCTATTCGTAGTCCCCTCAGAGTGTCCATCCTTTGCTCCTCGTTCTGCCCCTTCAACTGCGTGATGAGAGCCTGGATCACGTCCTTCTCCAGGCAACCTAGTCGGGGAGGGTCCTCAGGCCAGGGCAGAGCCTCCTCTCTGCCAGGCACCACTTGACCTGGCTGTGCCCTCGAGGGAGGTTTCAAGCACCACGTCTCGAGGGGTTGCCCCTCCTCCCAGGACACCAGAGCAGTGGCTGGGCACAACCTCACTTCTTCTCCCTTTTCACCCCCCACCCCCGACAGTACCTAGGTGAGTTCACGGCCGAGTGCCAGGTAGGAGTGGGCGTGCGTTCCACTCCCTCCCGTTCTTACCCAGAGGACGTGGAAGTTGCTCCCGTCTCACCTGCCCCAGCCGCCCGCCCAGGGAGAGGGTGCACTCACCCAGCATGGCCAGGCTTCTATAGGCCTCACGCACCACTTTCTCTGGACCGGTTTGGGCCTGATTATAGGTGGTGGAAACATGCAGTGAGGTGACAGAACGTCAGAGCTTTGAGCTTCATTTTATAAACAAGGAGACAGAGGCCTACAGAGTGACTCATCTTTGCTCAAGTACCGGGTACAGCCGGGACAGTACAAGGGGAGGAAGGCGACTTGGGAGTCAGACTTTGGTTCAAATACCTATCTGGGAGCTAGCAGCCACGTGGCCTTGGGCAAGTCGCTCGGCCTCTCGGGGCTTCCATTTTCTCGTTAGGAAAGTGCAGATACTACTGCCTATTTCTAGTTTGGTAAGATTTAAATAAGATTATGGAGGACGAGTGCTCTCCATTATAAACTGGCGAATAAACACAAGGCACTGACTGAGGGTGGAGAATGAACTCAGTCTCACTTCTCGCCTGGCTTTTCAGTTGTCTCTTCTTAGACAAAAGGGGTCTTCAGACTCTGCCTTCCCCATCCTCTTAGATCAGGCCACCCTTTAAGGAAGCCAAGGGCACCAGGTGGTGTGTGCCGCAGACCGGCCGCTCTCCTCCTCGGGGCTGACCCTGGGGTCCCTTCCGAGACTTGTGTGTGCCCATGTGCCCGTGTTCCTCCTGCCCTGTTCCCTCCTCTCCTGAACCCTGTGCGGCCCCCGACTCACCACCTGGAGTAGTGCTTCTATGACAAACTCGTCACCGACGCCCAGGCACCCCAGAGCCTGCAGGAGCAGGGGCGGAGGAAAGGGAAGAGACCTTGGATACTGCCCCAGGGGTTACCATTCTCTGCACACAGCTGGATGTTGTTTTCGGAACCCCACCCCACCCTTAGCCGCCCCTCCCACCTCAGGCACCTTTCTGCTCTGCAGCTCAGCCAGCTCCTACCTGTGGCCATGCTCCTCCACCCTTGCCATGTCTCACCTGTGCCGCGTAGAACTGCTCGTCCTCTCTGGGAGCTTTCAGGCTTTCCGTGAGCTCCTGCCCGTCCAGAGGAGCCGGTGGAAGGGAAGAAAGGGGTCAATATAGTTGCAGAACTTCCAACTGAAAGGAGCTCATCCCCTCCCATCCCTTTTCCTCCCCTCCCTCCACTTTGCAGGCAGGGGTTTAGGGCAGAAGGACGGAGTGAGCCCAAGGTGAGGGCATCCGCAGGAAGAGGGTCTCCCCTTCCTCCCTCCCACCATGGTCCCTGACCTTTAATCTTTGCCACCTCAGAGAGTCCCCAGTAGGGGATGAAGGCTTGTGTCCCTTCTGAGGTTTTACAGTCAGCTGGATCATGGGGAGGTAGGCTTTTGGGGTGGCAGTGCCCTCTTTGAGGTACCTGCGGAAGAAACTGCCCAGGCAGCTTCGGTCCCCTCGTTCCCTCCGTCCCGCCTTCACAAATTCCCCTCTGCCTCCCCCCCGTTCCGAGCCCGGCTCAGAGATGGGACCAGAGGAAGGCAGATGAGCCTCGGCCTGCCTCAGGGTCCTCCCTGGGGTCTGTCGGCCGACCCCGGCCTTCTCCTTCCTGGGTGGGGCGGGCGTGGAGAATAGGGAGGGCTAGTGCACACCTGGGGCGGGCTCTCGTCTTCTGCAGCATCTGGGCCTCCCGTTCCCGGCGCTGATTGTACAGGGTTTGCCAGTACGTGTAGAGCTCGGGCGTCTCGGCGGAGCGGTGAGGTGCCGTCTCCGGCTGGCTGGGGTGCTGCCTCCAGCACTCTGGGCTCGGGGGAAACTCCTCCTTTGGCATCTGGGGCGGGGTGGGGGCGGGCGTGTGAGCAGCAGAGCGTCCCCGGTTCAGTAAACACCACGTAAACGAGCACAGGACATTCAGTGCCGTTTGGACTGCGGGGAATGAATGCAATATTGGGGACATACACATCCTAAAAATGATACAGTTTTTGCCTGAAATTTACTTTAACTGGGCACCCTGTATTTTATGAGGGTCCGTGTGTTATGAATAAAAACGACTCATCCTTAAGCATGGCCTGCCTGTCAGCCCAGGCCTTACAGAAACTCTCAAGGGCGCCACGCAAGGCTTGGCCTGTGACAGAGGAGGCTTCTGAGGCTCAGGAAGGGGACGACTTGTCCAAGAATTCGTGGCTTCCCCAAGGGTGAGGGTTGGGGTTCTGCGAACTGGCCTTAACGGGACGGGACAGTCTGCTGTCCCTCCTACTTCAACAAAGCTCCCAGGGAGGCAGAAGTCAGGAGTCTTACCTGGAAGCAGGACAAGGGCAGGTGAACAGGTGCCAAGGCTTTTTTGAGTTCTGGGGTAAGAATGGGACAGCAATTACGAAGGCAGGTTAAAGAACCGCCCGTTCAGGCCCCTGTTGATTGGGCGTTTAACGAGAACCAGTGCCCGGCACAGGGCGGTGAACAGGCACCGTTCCGGTCCTTCGGGGCTCCTGGTTTTCTGGCACCTTGCCGCTCCCAGTGTGGTGTGCAGAACGGCGCAGGACGGCCATCGCGTGGGAGTTTCTCAGAAGCGCAGGCTCTCGGCCGCCCCCCAGGCCTCCCAAGTCAGGCCTCCCACTTTAACAAGATTTCCATGTTCGGGGTCCGGCAGGAGCAATGCCGCTGCGTGCGGTTGGCAGGGTGCCCGAATGTCTCGCACGAGACGGGCAGCAATATGACCGTTTCATCTGAAACGTCGTGTGGTGTGCTTGAGCATGAAATGGTTGTGTTACAGAATTTCAAGCTTATGATTTTGTAAGAATAAAAGAGTTGGTATAGATTACCAGCTCATTAAAAAAGGGGGGGGTGCGTTATTTGTGCCAGACCCTGTCCTTCGACGTGTGAGAAACACTGGTCTGCCTGGCAGAGTGGCCCTCCGCCTTGGCTGCGACTTAGAGCTTTTCGAGGGAACTCTCAGCACGCCTTGGCCCTACGTCAGACTAACAGAATCAGAGCGGGGTCTCTGGGGAAGGGGCCCGGTGGTTCAGGGAGCTCCCCAGAGGATTCTAACGTGCGGCTCCTGGGGAAACGCCCCCCGTCTCGGTCGGTGGTTCTCACTCGTGAGTGTGCACTAGGATCCTCTGGGGAGCTTGTTAGAACGGGTGTCTGGGACCCGTCCCTAGAGTGTTGACTCAGGAGATCTGGTGTCGGGTCCGAGGAGATGCTGATTCTGCTGGTGCAGGGACCACACTTTGAGAACCGCTGGGCCAGCTGGTGAGACAGAACTGTCTGTCTGTCAGTGATTGCCAGAGGGACACAAAGGTGAAGACAGGTGCTACAGATGAGGGGCCAAGTTTGAGGGGGAGGGGCCCTGAGCATGGGGAACAACTTACACAGAGATTTGGGGGTTCGAGAATCAGGTAGAGAGCCAGGTGTAGGCGTGGGAGCAGTAGCTGGAGAACCCTGAGGTGTCCCACCTTCAAGGGCCCTGGAGACTTACCTTGAGGGCTGTGCGGAGCCCCCAAAGTGTCCAGGGGCCTACCCTGACCCCTCCTGTGGATTTGCTGAACTCGCCCAGATCCCTGCTTGGGAGGGGAGCCGGGGAGCTTCCCTTCTCAGACCCTCGGCCTGGATTCTGTCCTCTGCGTTCCAGCCTCACCTTTGATCCTGTCTGGGTATTCCAGCCAGGGGTACTTGAGCATTGACCTGGAGATGTCAGAGATATCGACTGACTTCTTGTAGGCCATCCTTTTGTTGTCCTGGTGGAGCGGGAGGGAACTCAGGCAGGGTGGTGGTGGTGCTGTTAGAATATAGGGTTTTTGTGGTGGGCGGGGGACTCAGGTCAGGGAGACCTGTCTTTGCCGCACGAGGGGGACTAGTGAGGTGTCTGGGCTTCTGGAGACAGAAGCTTCCACGTGCTGAGCGGCCAGGTCTCCTAGGGGAATAGAACACTCCAGTTCCATTCTTGAGCCCAGGCCCCGGCAACTACTGGCTTGTGGATCGAGCTGGTCATTGTACCTCTGGGAGCTTCAGTGTCCTCCTCTGAAGAGCAAGGAAGTCAAGACTGTCTAGCTAACTAGAGGGGCCGTGGTGAGGCATAAATTTAAAAAGAAAGCCAACACATTCGGTCAAGTGTCAGGCTCATGCCAGCCCGTGGTAGGGGCAGGGGTTCTCAGGGTCAGTCGTCAGTAAAATGGCAGGGGTGCGAAAGCCTGTCTTATACACACACCTCCCTCCTTGGCGGCACGAGACTGCGCTAACTCTGTGGTGAGTTGTTTATATTTCCTACTTTTGCATATGCCGTTCCCTCTGTCGGGACTTTCATTGTCTTTTCCACCTTCCAAACAGTTTTTCAAAATTTTCAAACCCTATTTAAATATGATCTGCCCTGGCTGGTGTAGCTCAGTGAATTGAGTGCCAGCCTACGAATCAAAGGGTTGCCAGTTTGGTTCCCAGGCAGGGCACATGCCTGGGTTGCAGGCCAGGACCCCAGTAGGGGGTGCTGGAGAGGCACATGGATGTTTCTCTCCCTCTCTTTATCCCTCCCTTTCCCTCTCTCTAGAAATAAATAAATAAATAAAATCTTAAGGAAATGTTATCTTTTAAGTCTGTCTTCTCCCCTAAGCACTGTGCCCCACCCCATTCGGGGGTGTAATCCCCCTACCCCCAACGTGACCACATTATGTATTGGTGCTTCTCTTTATTTCGTTTTTAAAGATTCTTTTCATTTATTTTTAGAGAGGGGAAGGGAGGGAGAAAGAGAGGCTAAGAACATCAGTGTGTGGAGGCCTCTTCAGCGCCCCCTACTGGGAAACTGGTTCACAACTCAGGCATGTGCCCTAGACTGAGAATTGAACCAATGATCCTTTGGTTCACAAGCTGGTGCCCAGTCCACTGAGCCACACCAGCCAGAGCTCCCTTTATTTGTATTTATTTGTTTGTTTATTTAAAGGTTTCTATATTCCATGGCCCCCAAATCTAGGGTGGACACCAGACCTGTGCCCGCCCTGGACCCCTGAGCAGCATTCATGAGGAAGGCAGGGTCCCGAGGAGGAAATCAAACCAGGAGCCAGCTTTGTAATCGCCTGGAGAACTTTAATGGAAAGCTAATTGCTCACTTCTGCCAGTCAGCCTATCCCAGTGAGGGGCTGAGGTCAGAGCTCTGGCCACAGGACGTTTCCACAGAGGCCCAGTTTTTCACCCTTCTTCACCTCCAGAGGCGCGCTGACTTCCTTGCTCACTGCAGAGCCAGGAGGCCTGAAGCTCACAGCCCAGAGAGTTCCTGTGTGTGACAGAAAGCCCAGGGAGCTCTCGGAGGCAGGAGGCTTTTATAGCTGCTGCGAGTGGTGGAATCTGGGCCCTGCAGGGACGAAGGGGTGGGAGTAGGGACTGGGGAGAAGCCTTCTAAGCTGGTGAGGACAAGAGCAAGAAGTAATAAGAAAGTTGGGCTAGTTCGGCTTCCAGGCGCCCTCCATCCTAGCTCATCTCCAGAGTGTTGATGTAGTCCCGCACCCATTTCTTCTCCGGGTCGGCACACACCTGGCGCTTCTTTCGGGTGATTAGGCTGTGGGAGTGGAGAAGACGAGAGTGAGACCTGGTCAGTGCCCAGTTTCGGACAAGATGGATAGAAGCGTAAGCGGAGACCATGGTGGTACTGGGTGGGTTGGTTTGGGAGCTCTGTAAGACTGTATCTGTAGCTTTTAAGGAAAGGACATTTGCTCTTCAGCTGATTCAAAGGGCTCCAAGACAGCAGATTTGTGTGCGTTGTAACTGACATGCAAGCACATGCAGCCGAGAGAGCTAAGGGGCTTTGGGATCTGAGGGGCCCTGCGGGGAGCTGGTCAACCACAGCGGCCCCAGAGAGCGCTGCTTCCAATGAACATGCTACTCGGGGGCTGGCCCTTCCCACTGGGCCTTTCTCGTTTGGGCTTCTCCTTTGGGATGTTTTCAGACAAAGTGAAGGCTGGCGAGAATGAGGATTTTCGGTCCCTTTTTATGCTCTATCAAGGATAGTGTTCGCGGTCAGGGAAGCTGCTTCCCCTTTTCTGAGCCTTACTCAGAGCCCTGTGGCCATTTCTCTCTCTCCCACCCTGGCATGCAGAGAAGAGAAAGGGAGCAGAAGGGGTGTCTCTCTCGAGCCTCCTAGTGTTTGCTTGTTTGGGGCGGTGAGGGGACTTCAGACCCTGCACCTGCCCTGGTGAAGTCATACAGGAAATCCTGCTGACTCACTGTCTTCTCTCCTTTGGCCTGTGGCCAGGAAGTCAGAAGGCCAGGAAACCGACATCTGGGGTCAGGGCCATCCGGTCTGATTCTGGAGGACAGAGCCTCCGCACCAGGCCTTCTCCCCCGAGCCCGGACCGGACACCCTCTCCCCTCCTGGCTTCCCGTCTGCCTCTCCTCTTGCTCCATCTCGTGGGAACCTCCACCTCCACCTCCACCTGGCCCCTGGGAATTACTTAGAATTTGCTGCCCTTTTCTTGTCTGCGCACTTTCCCAAGTCTCTGGCCCTGAGTCCAGCACACAGTGGGTGCTTAATGGACGTCTACTGAATGAGTAAGTGAAGGGATTGCATTTACTCATCACGTTCCACTTGTCACTTCTCTATGTTTAATAATACCTTTAGGGGAGGAGAAGGAAATCTTTTAATTTTATCTTTTATTTTCGTCTTCTCGCTTTGACCCAGTGGGGGAAAGACTCCTATTTTACTCCACTTGACAGATGAAGCAATGGAGAAGTTAAGAGGTGGGCTCAAGCTCTGGCTGGTGTAGCTCAGTGGATTGAGTGCGGGCCTGCGAACCACACGATTGAGGTTCGATTCCCAGTCAGGGCACATGCCTGGGTTGCAGGCCAGGTCCCAGCGGGGGACTCATGAGAAGCAACCATACATTGGTATTTCTCTCCTTCCCTTCCCCTCTAAAGATAAAAAAAAAAAGGTGGGCTCAAGCTCAGGCACCTCCCAGCTGGGGAAGCCGGGACTCTAGCAGCCCAGGCCTGGCACCCACCACGATGATGCTCATTGCCACTCTCACGCTAGGGGAGCCCTTCCTCCTGTGGAAAAGGATGCCGCATCTCTGGTCCCAGCACCCTTTCCCTAGCTGCCGACCTCAGTCCCCACCTGCTCTCTCTCTCATTGCTCCTAGAGAGGGGAGGGAAGGAAACATTGATATAAGGTGGAGACATCGATTGGTTGCCTCCCTTATGTACCTGGACGGGAATCCTGCCTGCTGGACTCAGGATGGAACCCGCAGCCTAGGCACGTGCCCTGACCAGAATCAAACCCACGACCCTTCGGTTACTGGGCAGCGCTCCAGCCAACTGAGCCACCCGGCCAGGGTGCTCTTCCCCGGATAGACAGCACTACTTCAGGGGGCTCCTCACATCTGCCACGATCGGGGACTGAAGCCCCAGCGTCACCCTCGCCCCTCCTCTCCTCTGCTCCTGACTTCACCGCACCAGACAGGACTCACCGACTGCACCTCTGAAGGTTTCCCCCCCACCTCTCCTTTCCTTTCAGGTCCTGTGCAGCCTTCAACACCACTCCCACGGATGATGACAACGGCCTCTTCACGGGACCCCTATTTTCTGGGCTTTCCTGTCCCCACTCATTCCACACGTGTTGGCAAGGCTAACACTTCAGCTCCCTGGTGCTGCCACTCAAAGCCCCCAGGCTCAACATAAACCAAAGGAGAGCCCCAGGGACAGACCCTGCCTGGAACCCTCAGTCCCTCAGGCTTCTCTATTCCCAACTCAAACAGCCTTTTGCAGCAAACTCCCCTGAAATCCCATCTCCTGAGCCCTGAAGTCTTTGGTCAAGTTCTTCTGCGTGACCTCGTCTGTCCCATCCTCCGGCTGGGAGCCCCAAGGGCAGGGTGGGCCGTGCACACCTCTTGGCCTGTCCACCCGTCTGCCTGCCCATAACGGGTGCTCAGAGACAGACCTTCTTCTTTTGAAAAACATTTGTTTTAGAAATGAAACTTGTAGTGCTATCCTGCGAGTTAGCACTGTACTAGCACAAAATATGAGCACTATACTTTGAAGGGCTCTTTAGAACCAAAGGCTGCCTCTGAATGCCCTTGACTCTGCCAGTGTCACAGGAGTTTTGGGGGTTTAAAAACATCTCCAGGATATAGGAAACGCCATGATTATCTCACTTTCATTCTTTTAATCTCCATCGCCTTCAATTTCTTAAGCGCTATCACTAACGGCCTGGCTACAGAGACAGGCAGTGCCCCTCGCATCCTGGGCGTGAAGGGCAACACAGCCCTCTCTGGGTCTCAGTTTCATCATCTGAAACAGTGCGGGGGGAGCCACGTGTTCCTCCAGGGCTGCTGCGATGATGTGTAGAGACATTTGACACATAGTAGGTCCTTCCTAGGTAGTAGGAATTATTATGTTTTTTCAAGTGATTTAGCTTGCATATTTAAAGGAGAATCTCATTTCATTATTTCTTCACCCACCAATATATTTTTTGTACAAGTGACTGTAACCAGGACCCTGCCTTCTGACCGCTCCTCCCTCATTCCCCTGGGCTGGGGGTGGATGTGTCTGATTGGCCGAGGGGTGTGGGGGACTGGGGGGTTCAGCTGGGAAATGATGACCGAGCTGACCTGTGTGCAGGGGCTTTGCAGGTGCTGTGCAAGGCTTGAGTCACATCTGTTGTAAAGACGGAGACCTGATCTTGTCCCTCAGAGTGGGGAGGACCCTCCGAGATCATCCTGTCTAACCCTTCTCATGAGAGCTGGGGCATCTAAAGCTGGAGAGGGTGGAGCTGAGGCTATTTGAGCAGCTAGAGGATGGGAGGGAGTGGATTCGGCACCAGCCCATCCAGAGGGCTCCCGAGGGGGACAGCTCTGTAACAAAAGAGGTCCCTTCCTTACCCCCCCCCCCGCCCCCCGGAGGGTTCCGTGGGACTGAGACTCACACAACTGCTGGCATGGAGCACTTGCTGCTGGTGTAGAAATACTCCTGCAGGTGGGCCCGGGGCACCGGGCGGGAGATGTAGGCGAAGCAGCAGGGAGTGGTGTCGGAGGCATCTGGGGGAAGGAAGGAAGGAAGGAGAGCCTTGTATTCATTGCTGGTGCGCACTGGGTATTGTGCTGGCTACTTTATACGATGTATCTTAGATAGACCATTATCCTCCTTGGGCTGAGAGTGAGGCTCCGAGAGGTCAAGTCACTTTGCTACCGACACACAGCGACAGAGTGGGGACTCCAACAGAAGGCCGAGGGCATTTCTCCAGTCCCTCAGCTGATCCTTGATCCTGGCTTATACCCTTCTCTCTACAACGTCACCCCATGCCTTTGGCTCTCAGGACACAGCTGGGCCTCCTCCTGACTTGTCTTGGGGCCTCTGCCCTAATTCTTGCCCTCCTGGGATCCCTGGATGGATTCAGAACTTGGTTTCTTTGGGACCTGTGGTGGGCTGGGAGGAGGCTTCCAAAACTCAGAGCTAAGATGCATCCTGGGTGCTAGGGGCCTTGACTGAGGCATAGCAAAATGCGCTCGAACAGAGGAGGAGGAGGATTTTCCTTGGTTGGTTAATTCAGGATGACCCTGGGCTGTGGCAGTTGCCACTTCCCAGTGGAGGAGGAGGGTTTGGGTCTGTTGGAGCAGGAGGTCTGTTCTGCCAAACAGAACTGGGTTTGAACCCCAGGCTCTCTCCTTCCTAGCTGTGTGATCTTGGCAAGTTACTTAACCTCTCTGGGCTTCTGTTTTCCCATCTGTAAGTCAAGGACAGCTGCTCAAAGAGTAGTTGTAACTATTAAATAAGATGGCCTGTATAAAGCAATCAGCAAAATACTTGACCCATAGTAGGTACAGTATTTCATTAGCTTTCATCATCCTTCCCCAAGCCCCATTTTTTTTCTCTCTATGAAATGAGGGGAAATATCACTGTCCCAGGAGGGTTTCGGTTAAGTGCCTGTAAGTTTCTTAGAAACCCTGCTGGCGTTAGGCAGGAGCCAGCTGTTTGCAGGTCAGCTTGAGCCGCCCCTGCCTTCTAATACCCCCTGCACCAGTCTGTACCAGTGAGCACCTGCAAGCTTGGGATGCAGACCCTGAAGACACAGAAAAGCTAACCAGAGGGTCCCTGCCATGAAGTGGCTTAGAGATCTATCGGGCACCACTGGGCACCCGGGAGAAGCAGTGAGGAAGAATGTAAACCACAGGGTCCAGACAGTACAGATGCTGTAGTTGAAAAGAGGGCAAAGTCTGACTCAGGTGGTCGGGACCGGGACTTACATGGCGAGGCAGATGCAGGAGCGCACAAAGCAGCAGCGGCGAAGAGGACGGCTAGGGCCGCGGCGGAGACCTTCATGGTACCTGAGGGCAGAGGCTGTAGGAGCTCCTGGGCTGTCTTCGGAACCTCTGCAGGGATGCTCTGCAGCTCAGGCTGGCCCTTTATAGGGAGCGAGTCAGGCCACTAGAGGGGGCGTCCCCCAGAGGGAGTTTCCAAAACAGTAGCCATGCAGTGGCTGACATCATAAGTGAAATTGCATTAAAGGGAAAAGAAAACTGAAATAGCCTCCAGAACTGTGACGCTCCCTCCCTCTCCCTCCCCTGCCCCCTCTCTCTCCCCCGACTCTGTTGCTCTCCCTTTCCCTCCCTCTCTCCTCCTCACCACTCAGATCCAGAGTGAGCTCATCAGTTCCACCTTTGCCCACAAGGAGAGCTGGCACAAGCACTGGTGGGAAACCTCTTCCTCTGCTCTGTCCCTGGCACCGTCCTCCAGGGCAGAGTCCCCCCCAGAGTCCAAGAAGCCACTTCCCTAAGGTCGGGAGGAGGGACAGTTAGGGCAGACTCAGTAACACCTGGGTGTTCACTTGGGTGCTTTCAAAGTTCTTTCTGATGTAGTACAGGTCTGTATCTTCTCTCTGTCATCCACAGAAGGATGTTATTTGTGAGGTGTTCTACTGAGAAGGGGGGGTCCTCTTACATACAGTCCCCAAGGGGGGTGATCGGGGCAGTTGGTCTGAACTGGGCACTGGCGACCTTTCCACCAAATACGGTTGGAGTGGGTGGTGGCCACAGGGTCACCCCCATTTATTTACTTGTTGAGTGGTCCTTGGGCACCTTGCCTAACGTCTTTGAGCTTATAGTCTTGTTAAGGGGGGGAAGAGAGATCGAGACCACGATTATCAGCCACTTACTGAAGGCGAACTCTGTGCCAGCCACTGTTCAAGGGCTTTGCGTGTGTCAACTCATTTACTGTTATTATGCCCATTTCCCCATTCTATTTTATTTTTAAAAGTATTTTATTTACTTATTTTTAGAGAGAGGGGAAGGGAGGGAGAAAGAGGTAAAGAAACATCAGTGTGTGGTTACCTCTCACACCCCCCCCACTGGGGACATAACCTGCAACCCAGGCATGTGCCTTGACTGGGAATCGAACTGTTGACTCTTTGGTTCACAGGCCTGCACTCAATTTACTGAGCTACATCAGCCAGGGCTATTTTATTTTATTTATTTCATGTTATTTGTTTCCATTTTCTCATTTTACAGTTGAGGACCAGTGAATGCTGGGATCCCACCCCATTTCTAAGACACAAGAAGCTGAAGACTGTGGAAGCTGCAAAGGGACTCAGGGGCCATTTTCCCATGTTCTGTGGTTGCAGACAAGGAAAGCGAGGCCCCGAGGGTGGAAGTGACCCGAACGCGCAGCGAACGCCTGAGGGGGTCCGAGCCGGGAGTCCTAGCTGTCGCTGCGGCACTCCACGCCAAGTGCGGCTCACCATTAAGAGGCTCGCGGCTGGGGGCACCGGTGAGCGGAACCCAGGTGGCGGTCTTAATTAGAGCAGGGTCCTCACCCATTCCAAAGAGCTGGAAACAATAAACCCTCACCAATTCCTGTTTGGATAATTCAGAAGTTTGGCCTGGCCTGGCCTGAAGTTGACTTCTGAATTATCTAAGCGAGAAGTGTCTGTTGCCAGGGACAAAAAGCAACCAGATTTTTTTTTTTTTAACGTGGCAGAGAATGTAATCTTACACCAAGAATGTTTTCTTGCTAGCCACTGTCACACAGGTAGTGGTGGCTGAGGGCGACTGAGTCACCCAGGAAGGGAAGAAGACCTTGGGTTCTTTGTTTCTCACAGTGACTTTGAGGCAGGGCGGGGACTAATCTCTTTTTGCAGAAGCGGAAACCAAGCCTCAGAAGTGGTCGACAAGGCCCTCAAGGTCACACAGCTCCTCGGGTGCTTCTGATGACTAGGCACGAGCTCTGGCTGGCGTCTACACTGGCGACGTCCTTCTGGCTGCCAGGTGCTGCTGTTCTCAGCTTGTCTCGAGAACCCTCTCATCCCTTCCCCCTCATCATCAGCTGCATAAAAACAATTTCGGAAGGCATGGCCATCTCACTGAAAGAAATAAATTGCAAACAGGTCAGAGACATTCATCCATCCACAGAAGCATGTTCTGCCTATTTTAATAGCACCCTTCACACGGTCCCCTGCGCTCCCAAATGCGGGGGGAGGCCGCGGGGCCTGCTGGGTCAGGGCAGGAGCTTGGATGTTTCTCCCATGTATGGGCCTTGTGGCCTCAGGCAGGGCACTGAATCTCCCGGGCCTCAGTTTCCTCATCTGTAAACCAGGGATAATAATGACAACCTCCCACAGCTGTTGAGACAACTAAGTCCCAATAACTGTGCTCGTAAGCTCTGCGTGCAACGCCCGATGCACGTTAACTACTTAATAACATTAGCTGTTATGATCACGTTACTGTTGAGAGTAAGACAATGGCAGTGAGGAGAAGTCCCTTTAAGGATATGCTGTCCTTTAGGCTCTTCAGCTGTGTAGACAAGGCCCCACTTAATTGGGCTTAGTGACCTCTCATTTATTTTTAAGTGACCTTGACTGATTTTTAAGCAAATGGGTCCGTTGAAGCTTAGAGAGGTTAAGTGACTTGCTGAAGGCCTCATGGCCCAAAGAACTCAACCTTGAACCCGACTCTGGGTTCGCGGCCTTTCTACCACACTGCACTGTTTCTAGAGAAATCCTGAAAATTTTTGCTAAGGTTTGTTCAGATTTTCCACGTGTGCCCATTCCTGTCTCCTGTCTTGGATCTTAGTTTCTCTCTGTTAGGAAGAAAGCGAAGTTGCTTTTTTCCTGGTTACCAAATATGTGAGTGGGGACACCAGCTGAGGAGAGAAGTGAAGGAACCCTCCCACAGCTGGACCAACATGATTCTTATTATTGACTTTAAAAAAAAAAAGATTTTATTCATTTATGTGTAGGGGAGGGAGGGAGAAAGAGGGAGAGAACATCAGTGTGAGAGAGACACACCAATCGGGTGCCTTCTGTCCGCCCCTAACCGTGGACCGGATCCGAAACCCAGGCATTTGCCTTGACCTGGAATCGAACTGGTGATCTTTCCCTTTGCAGGGCAATGCCCAACCAACTGAGCCACACCAGTCAGGGTGTGATCCTTATCTTTAAGTCCCTGTGAACCTTTCTGTCCTGTGTGTGTGAGTGGTAGTAGGAGTGGGAGGGGGGCAGGGTGGTGAGGTTGCTAAGCAGGAATAGACAATGAGTACATACATCAGGCATCTTCCCTTTAGGTGGCTCCAGTGGGTCGTGGAGGAGGCAGCAGGCAGAGGAGGGAGAAGAACATAACTGTCTTTCCCTTTCTGCCACTCACTCTCTCCTGTGCAGGGTTCTCTGGCTCTAATGCCCAGACTCCATGAGGAAAGCAGAGAGCCTGTGTAAATTAGCCAGTGTGGTACGTTCGGCGGGTGGAACTGTCGTTACGATTTGCTCTGCCTGTTATGTTCCTGGGAACTAGGGCCTGCCTGGCTCCCTGCACTAGTGGCGGCCAAGAGGGTCCCTGGAGGCAAGGACTGGGCCAACTTGGGAGGCCAAAAGGTGACGCAGCTGCCTCCGCCCTTCCCGTCCGGCCCGGGGGCCTGGTCTGCACTGCTCATTCACTTCTTCTCTTCCCTTCTTTAATCTTCAGTTTTTAACGAAAGTTGTGTGTAAGACTACTTCATTCTCACACCTTCTTGATGGTTCCTGCCTGGCATTTGCCCTTTTCCTTCCCTGCTGGGTGAGATGTGGCTTTATGCTCAAGGATCTTTCTGTGGCCTTTGTCCAGCTTTAGTGGTGCCTGCCCTGCTGGGGTGGGAGCCCACAGGGCCGGTTGTCCCATTAGCTTCCCCCCTCACACTCGTTCAGGGCGGATGGCACATTTCCTCCTGGGAACCTGGCCCAGGAGGAACCTGGCCCTGGGAACCTGCCAGTTTGCTGCCCTTGGTGACGTCCTCGCACAACCTGAACTTCTGGACACCATCGTCCTTTCTGACGGGCACGGATGGGACCCTGTGCTCCTGTCGCAGCTCTTTGGAAAGAGAAGAGGTGATCTTCCTGTGAATGTGGGCGGGTGCCCCGACATGCCTTTTACGGCTCTTGCTCAGGTCAGAAGGCACAAGGGGACCGGATTCGTTTCGGCCGCTGGTGCTTCTGTGCCGGTTGCGGCAGGGAAGAGACCCACTCGCCACTTCTGGTTCTGAAGGTTTTCCTCACTGGTTTCTTATTCACACCACTAAGTTTCTTCATCTGGAAAGTGAGAGATCGCTTCCAGCTTGCTTTGGGGGCCCTTTAAGAATCTGATGGAGGCTGGGAGCACTTTCCACAGACATGAAGAGACCCCACCACCGACACACCATGTAATTTTGCATGTGAGGGGCTCGTAGGCCCTGTAGGCTCGGCCGATGGGCTTCTGGGGTTCGGAGGCGGTTCTCACCCACCTCCTTACCCCCGCACCCCCTTTCCTAGGTATTCAGCACTAAAGCTAGACACACCCCCCTCCAGCTGAGGGCGGCCCCTCCCGTGCCCTCCTGGCCCAGGCTCCCTCTTACCTCCTTTGCTCATGTTTCTGAGCTAAGCGGCTGCCTGTTCAGCCGAATACTGTGGTGTTAGGAAACCAAAGCGGGAAAAAAAAAAAAAAAAAAAAAAAAGAAAGTGAAACCTCATTCCAATTGGATTCCAAAGCTTTTCTCAGACTTGGAGTTTCCTTTGCAACTGCATGGGAAACTTATTTAGATTTTTGGCTGCTTGTAAAAAAAAAAAACTGCCTGAAGCAGGGAAAGTCCCTCCATCCTACAGGAATCCCAGTCAGGGTCGCAAGAGAGAAACCTGAGGTGAGTGCATTTTTCTTCCTGTGAGCCTCACTTTCCCCCTTGTTAATAAGTGTAAGAGTTTCCCGTTTGAGTCAGCGGTCTGCTGTCTCACCCTTCCTCGTTCCTCAGGGACCCTGCCTGGGTAGCGGCTCTGGTAGTGGCCGGAGGATCTGAATGAAGGAGGCGGCCATGCAGAGGTGCCCGCTGGGCCCCCCAGCAGGCTCCAGGGGCCGGGCCGGGTGCAGGCAGCATGCGAATCCCTGTCCAGGGCTCCGCCACA